CCAAAATCTTTTCCGGTGCCTGTTTATTTTTGTACCCGGAATTTGCTTGCCGTGTATTTTTGGCGCGACTCCCCTCAAGTTTGGGACCGTACCTGCAACCTTTTTTCGACTTTGAAGACGCACTTGTGAAATCAAGAAGGAAGATTAGGAGCTTATTGTTTTTCACCTAATTAAACTGACTTTTATATGAGACTAGCTGTTACCCGCGAGTACGTCCCCGTAGAATATGAAGAAAATTTAAGGACATAACCTTTTTTCTATTTATCCAATATAAAAGTAGTCTAACTCCTTAGTATATCAGCTACCTGCCAGTAAAAGTCCCGTCAAAAGCAGTCTGGCCATTTCAGAGACGATGTTAAAAAGTGTTATTTTGATACATGTATCGTATATTATTCATATGCACGTAGTAAAAAGAGGTTTTAGTAAGAAGTAAAAAGGACAAAAAATATCATCATGCACACTCCACTGCTGGACTACATGTCTTCTCTACATAAGGGTTTGCCACAAATTCCGTTTGGTACGCAATGGAATTGCAATTTTAGGTTCAGGTTTGGCAAATAGTGCTGCCCACCTTCTGTCTGTCTTCAAAACACGGTTAAAAGAGATCTAAAGTTAATTTTAAATCCTAAGTTTCTATGAGACTAAGTTAGTTAACTTTAAAACTACGATCAGTTAACTACAGCTCTTAAATAAATGCACACAGAGTTTAGTTTACAATGCACAAGCAACACGCTTCCTTACAACTCTGCGTTCGTTTTGCATAAGTTTTAAAATGTTTACTTGAAGCAATTCAAGGCTCGCGATATTTCGGGGCTTCCGCCCCCTATTTTTAACGACCCATCCGCTACAAATGGGTGCTGCTTAACCTCGATATTGATCGGGACGATGACTTGGCATTCTGCTACCACGATCAGACATCATAGTCATTATAATACTTTGGATCACTTTAGGAACCGCCTGAACTTACACCACCTCTGAAAATGTCTGATGTTAATGTATTTATAGATACAACTTCCTAATAAAATAAAACTTATTCATTTGTATGATGTTATAAATACTTATTTTTGTAGGAACAAAAGAAGAAAATTAAAAAAATTTATACATCGAAAATTATATGTAGTATTAACAGAAATAAAGCTCAAAACTCCAGAATACAGATGACCCAGTAATATCTAGGTAGTAATTGATCTTATTTAATACAAATATATTGAACAACTGCCAAATGCAAAAGTTACTCGGCCATTATGAGAGTACTCTCTTATTTATTGTTCGGTTCTGTGTGCGTGAAACTCGTGCATGTAACGTGTACTCACTTACAAAAATTATAATATTTTCAAATCTTACCAAAAATTATGCAACAACCCTACCAAGGTACAGTCAACGCCAATAACAAGAACCAAGTTATAATTATAATTTAAATTATAAGTATTCAACTAATAAATTCATATTTCGATCAAGCATTCCTAATTTAAAAATATCCAACACATTGTATCGCCTTCGAACACGAGCTAAGTACGAACGCGCGGCGAACGACGCCGAGCGCCAGAATAATGCCGGTGCAAGCCGCAGACATTGTCAGTAATTGCCGGTGCCGCTATAATCGCACTTAATTACAACTATACAACTCACAATCGCGCCCGTTTCAAGTATTCATTATTAATATTAATTCGCGATAAAAACAGGTTTGGTCTCGAGCCCGATACGAGACTTCTCATTGCACCACTTATAACTCAAAACCCGTGTCTTATTTTAAATTTAATTATAGAATAACTTACTTTGTGATTTAAAACAATAAAATTAACGACGCCCGTTTTGTTCACTTATAATATAATGCGGGAATTAGCAGTAAAATATAATTGTTTTACAAGTCGAGCGAGCAGACAGACACTAATCACATTATGTAGCGTGTTTAATTTTTTACGTCTAATGAATGACATTTTGTATGGAAACGTTGCGTCAATGGTATTCTTTATAATCGTAGCAATCTAAACACATGTACATTACGACTTAATAACAATATTACATTTAGAAACATTAAACACTAACAAATACACAGAAACATCTGTGATACTAGTTTCGCAATATTTAGTTAATTTTAATGACATAACTACAATAAAATTAAATGCGTTACAACTGTACAGACGGACAGACAAAGAAATTACGCATACCAAATAAAAATTCCATACAACATTTTCATTTTATCATCTAAATCGGCGTTTACGACGGGGAACAATGCCGTGCTCCGAACCAAACAAAAGTGGGACGCAAATAAAGAAAACAATAAAATTAGAATATATAAACACATAAAAACTGGCGTCCAGAATGTTCGCGGTGCGGCGGCCGGCGCATGCGCGCGGCGCCCACCGCACATTACATCAAATAAATTAATATCAACTCCAACTGTACATACGCAAGCGAAGGGTTCGTGTTTATTTGAAATAACTTTTTTAGTGTATTGTTTGTGTGTACGACGTGTTAGTCGTCCGAACAGTTCTCTTAACAGCACTATTTCGAGACACAAGTGTGTTCAAAAGACACAACCAATGTATCATTCAGGGTTTATTACCGCTCTGGACAACTCAAAATAGGTGATCAAATTACATTTTCGAGCTTAGCTCAAACTTATGTCAGCGACTGTACTCCGGCGTAGTACACGCTGCTCTGTGCTCGCTAGTCGCCAGAAGGCAATGAAGTGTGGCGGGGAACTATTACTAAGCTGCGGAAGTAAGTTTAAACATCCAATCCATTTAACAAATGTAGTTGTACCTCTAACTGTCCATATTATTTATCTATAATACAATGCAAAACAGTTAAAACACAATCCACAATCAATCTAATGCGCGTAAATAGTCTCAAAAGTGGTTGTGGGCCGTTGAATATTATCTACAAGACAGTCCAGGAGTGAAAGTGATCAGTGTAGCACAAAAACAGCCGTAATACAATAGAATTAGAATACATTTTGGTAGAATTACGATACCATAAAGTTTAAGTGGTAACTGCCGTCTGTGTACGGTCGACGCGAAAAGTGCTTGTTCGGGGAAAAAGCTGTAATGAAAACAGTTTTGAAATTGATATAGCAGATTCTAATCTTATATTACGTCTACTCGTTGTTTCCATTCAATTTTAACAACATTATCAGACTTATTTTTGTTTAAAATGAGTTTTCTTTTATCCTTCTTCATTCTTAGGTCTCATTGTATAAAATAACGTGGAAAATATAACATTATCTGGACTGAAATGTTGTATTATTTATGATTTAAACGGTTCAACTAAATTTAGTATGTTCCTTGACATCCAGAATGTTATTTAAAACTGATGTATTTTACTTTGACTCGGTGCAAGCAAAGCATTTCAAAACTCAGACAAAACATGAGATTTTAGCGATTGTAATATTTACCTTCCGAACACAAGATACTTTTATTATTGAAATGAGTTCTGATTGTTATACTGCATCAGAAATAACTCAGAAAGAGGTCAAGATCGGGTAAGGAACACCCATTTATTATCTCGATGACTTAATGGCCGACTTTTTTCGCACAATTTTAATTGGATGTTTATTTCCATGGACACGTGTGATCGTGTATGATAATATTGTGTTCTTGTCATCAGTAGAAACATGTCGCAAGCTTTGATTTACTGTTATAACCTATTTCTTTTATTAAATTATCTTATGACAGATATGAATGCCAAATCCCGTTTCACGTTATTATATTGTCATAAAAATAATTATTATATGAACGAATGAGAGATTTGTTGTTTTTAGGGATTTTATGTTATTTTTATAATTTAACTACTTTAGTCTGCTCTGCTCAGCGCTTGTTGACCGTAGCGTGATGTTCCTCGATAAATGCACTATCTGACAATAAAACAATTACTCAAATAGAACCAGTAGTTCTGGAGATTGGCGCATTCAAACAAACTGCTGGTTTTTTACCTTTTACTGTTTTTCGCGGATCATACTTTTAGATTTAAGATATCCTATTGGATATTTATGAAGCAATTCGTTATCCACTTATCCCCTATTCCACTAAAATTAATATAAGCTAGCTTTTGAAAATCTATTTTAAATTATAAAATTCTCTTTTTTGAAAATACCAGCACTTTTTCGCAGTTAACAAAAGCATCGCTGTGCCCAACAGTACTTCGAGTGAACGGCGCGCTACGTATACTTGTATCAGATAAAATTATTCAAATGATACGATCTATTGTGTTTCAGCAACAATGATAAATAATAATATTATTACATATGGGTGATTATACAAAAGTTGGGTAACTCTTGAGGATATTTTGTTTACTATAGTTATTAAATCAAATTTCTACAAATTCGGGTGTATAAGATGGCTAATCTAATGAATATATTGTTCCACATCGGGCCAGTCACTTTTTTAAGTAGATTGTGAGATATTTCAAATTTTCAGAATTTGACTGCCAGGGGACTGACGAGGGTAACATAGTACTGACAAAATACACCATTTTGTAAGAATTATAATCAAATTTAATAAAAATTGGTACAAATCTCTTAAGATTTAATAATGGCACATGTCTTTTAAGTATTAAAATCACTTAGTAACAATTAAAAATAATTATTAATATGCAATACTGAGAGAAAATACTATCTTAGTTTTCAAAACAGCCTTTTGACATTTAACATAACGTTATTCACTTAACTTTTACTACTTTGACTTAGTTTTACTTAACATTTCTAAGTAATCAACAATCAATAGAAACAAAAATCTAACAATATTTATCTTAAAAGTACTATTATCATGAAATTAAGAACAATAACAATATAATACTATGAAAGTCAACTATACCAGTCTTCATAACAGCCTTTTGAGATTTTTATAATGTTATATTACTTAACTTTAATATTATTTTGAGGTAATTTTACTTAAAAGTACGTATTTTCTAATAAATCAAGTAAATATAATAGGCTATGCCTTAAAAGCATCAAAAAAGTTAGTAATAATTAAAATAATATGAGATCTTTTTCTCCACAAAAAAAAAAACGAAAATAAAGGATCAAAATAGTGCAAAAATAAGAAATTATTTTTCGAAAACATCAATTTTTTCCTGAAATTGGTAATAAACTCTCTTCCCTTTAGTAATGAGGTTTGGTACGGGTAGTTTTTTTATTACTTGATCCATGGGAACATCTGACACATCTCTTTCATCCAATTTAAACAGAGTGCCATTCTGGTCACAAATTTTAAGAAAAGTTACTCTTACTTCACCGTCTTCATCATCAACCGAAGAGCAGACCGCTGCATAATGATATTCTGTTTTCTTTGTGATATATTTGACCAAAACATAATCACCACTATTATAACGACTTTGATGGTGCGAATAACCGCTAGTTCCTGGTGCCGATAGATCTCTATCCAATTTAGAGCGATCATCATTGTCTTTAACATATGTAGATAGTGGTACATCATCTTCAGAGTCTGAGAATACGGTAGAAGTATTTATACGTGTACTATTTATAGCACTTATTTCTGTCTGATAACTAATAGATCCTAACTTGTAATGATTACATCCATCGGTATGACAAAAACAACTTAGTGACTTCATTGTAAGATTGTTGGGAATATATAAGCTGTGCCAGTCACCTGATGCACCAATAGTGTTCCCTTAAAAGCGACCATTTCGGACGACTTATCATTAATGATGGTGTTCATCTTCTCAATTTGACACTCTTCGATCACATCAATTTTTATACCTGGGCATCTTTCACGAATGACAGTAGCGAACTCATTCAGGTTAGTTATATCTCCTCCTGTAGCAATCACTTGGTCTGCTGTTCGTTTACAAGTGGCCCCTACACCATCGGGTGCCCCCTTCCCATGTCCAGCTTCATGAAAGTTCCAGGTATAATTTATAATATTAGGGAGAATGTCTTGCAGTTTACAGCCTAATACATAAAACATAGATTTGTTCCTGTATTGCGTTACAGGACCGTCGCTGAGAAAGTGAATGTTTTCAATATTTGATGGTAGTGATGCCAGCACAGGTTTTAGATGAGCCCAAATTGCTCCAGCGTTGTGAGACAAATTAGTCGAGATAGTGCAGTGTGAAATAACGGAGTTTTTTAGATAAACGACAACAGTATGTAATGAAATTTGGGTTCTCGAACCGCCGAAATGGAAGGATTGAATTTCTTGGTTGTATTTAGTACAAAAATTTTCGGAAAAATCCATATGTACAATGACATCGGTTTCAGATAAAGACTCTTTCAATTGCTTAATGGCATTGTACTGATGTAATATGTTAAAAGAATGCCGGAAAAATTTAACCATATCATTTTCTAGTTTTGTAATGGCATTTCTAGGTGACATTTCCTGTGTTTCTGTTTTACATTTCATCACAAATCGTTGTTTCTTCGTTTTCAGATCTGTTATTGACTCTTTCTTACTCACCCACTGTTTTATTAATATTGGTTTTGAGTTATCGAATTCAGTATAAGTCAGAGTTTTTGAGCAACAGTTATCACATGTTCTCTCTAGACATCTTTCAGAATATCGATCACAACAAAGCAGTTCCAACATATTTTGATGATTACTCACTGTTGTTATATTTGCCTTCTTTAGAGCAGCAAGTTGAAGGTTCATGTTTTCGTGAATCGTGCAACTACAAGTTTCACGGTTTGACAATGTAGGGGGTACCACCCAAAATGGTCGAAGTCGGGTAAATAGGGAATAGCTGATTACACATGGAGTGGTTTTTAAAAATTTCTTATGAAGGTTTTTCATTGTATCAAGTAAATATCTCTTCTGTTTTTTGACTTGTTTACGAGATACAAATTCTTTCTTTCCTGCAGCTTGACGGCTGTTAGAATCATCTTCGAAAAATTTCTGCACTAATCCTTGTATTATAGTTTTGCTTTTATTTATTTTTTTATTTGTCAGATTATGTCCAGTTTTTTTGTAGGTGACTGCTTTGTTTTTTATTCTCCATAGTTTGTATTTGTCTACTAAATTTCCAGATATAACTTGTTTAAATTTCTTTCTTTCTTCATGAGTCTTTAGTTTAGTGTAGTTTTCTTCCAATTGTGTTTTAATAACTTCCCCAAAAAGGGCCTTCTTCACTAATTCTTTCTTTTTAGTTATATCTTCACTCATGTCTTCAATTCTGGTCTTTGGCGTTTTTTCAACAGATTTTATTACTTTTTTTAGCTGCTTTTTGACTCGTTTATACTTTTGACGCTGAGTATTTAGTTTAGTTTTAAGCTTTGAAACTATAGCCTTCATCTTTTTTATTTCCTTGTTTCTAGATTTTCTCTGTCTTTCACTTCTCTTTTTAGCTTCTTTTGCTCTTTGGTCTTCGTTCATAACAGGTCTGATTTCTTCATTAATTATGGGTTGTATTTCGTCGTCAGTTATTGGAGGACTATTCTGGCGTATAAAATTATTAGTGGTTTGTTTCAATTGCCGTTTTCTTTGCCTGTAGTTTGATGAATAATTTTTCCATTTTTTTCTAGTTATTCGTTGCTCTCGTGGTGTCATTTCTTCAACATTTTTTCTTTGTCCTTTCTCTTTTTTCTTTAAGTACTGAAGCTTTTGTGTTTTTTTGTATTCCGCTAATTTAATGGGGTCGCTTTTAATTCTGGCTAAGCGAGCCTTTTCGGCTTCTCTCTTTTTTTTTAGTATTTCTTCCCTAGTCAATTTGCTTTTAGCGTGCCGCATGTTTATGAACTGAAATATAAAATAGAAATGCTTATACACGGTAGCAATTAAGATAAAAGTGCTCCAAAATTAAAAAAAACATCAGTACCATGGAAACACGTCAGTCCTCTGGCGCGATGACTGACAAAGGACTGACGCCAACGGACTGATGAAAAAGGCATAATTTTGAGGTTATAATCAGAACTAATGTTTTTTTTGGTAATTTTGAGCATCAACAAACTACATTTTAACAAATCATAGTTAACTTTGTATAAATGAAAATAAACCTGAGATTAACTAGAAAATAACGACTCACCACAGGACTGAAATTTTGACTGGCTCAGCACGTGTATAGACGACAAATACAACCCAAGCACTGGTACAGTTATGGCGGCCATCAAATTGTGCAATCCGCAACTAACTTCATTACCAACATTAAAATTCAAACAGCGATTTGACTTTGAGTCGGTGATAATTTGGCGCGAATTTCAATTTTAAACAACGCACAGCGGACTGACGAATAAAACAAACACAAAGTTTCTTAATTTTTTTTAAATAATGTGGAGAACATTGCATTATGAAAGTTGTAGTATATATTACTATGTAAATCACAGATTGTAGTAGATTAGTAAGTTTTCTCAAATCAATGATAATGTTTAATAGATAGTCACTTGATTGTTGGTTTTCGGGATTGTGACATGCCAAAGGACTGACGTTTTAAGCATTTAATGTGGTTTTTTATTAACTTGTATTTAAAATGAAGAGCTGTGATTGGGTGACCAAATAAAGGACCTTTCATTGTTTTAAAATAAATTGTAATCTCAATAAAATATAATAAGACTTTGCATATATTGACTGATGACATTGAGTTACCCAATTTTTGTATATTCACCCATATGTATTATTGTAAATATTTATGTAAGTAGGTTTACGACGCTAGCCTTACCATCAGATGTAAGGTTGATTCGCAAATTATATATAAGTACAGTGATTGTATTATTTTAAAGGAAATTGTCTTGTTTATGTGTGGAAACTTACTTACAGACAATAGCAGATATTATGATAATACTGATGCTACTATATAATATGTTTTCAGTACAGAATAAAATTAAAATCTTGCCATATGCCTACTCGAAGAGTTCCGTAACTTAATACTTCAAAAATATTAAGTTTTTATATGGAAATTTTCTTAAATATTTATTGTAATGCCAGCATACAAATGGGTATGATATATCTACACCATAAGTGAAAATGTCAACTGTCTCTTTTTTTAATGGGAGAAAATCATCGAATGACTTCTCCCGCCTAGGTGAAGCGGGAGGGAATGTCAGACTCTTGCTGACTAAAAACCACCCCATTCCTTCTCCTGCACGTCGAGCCGGAGCCCCGGTTACCCGTTAGGTTCTCCGCGACATGTCAACTGTCTAGCTATCACAGTTCATGAGATACAGCCTACTGTCAGACAGATGGACATCGGATTCATAGTAAGTGGCTTATTGTAAGCAATATAAAAATACGAAAATCATTTTCGCAATAAAATAATAATAAGACTTGAATATTTCATGGAAAACCACATAGTTGGAACAAACCTTTCCTTGAAAAAAATAATTTTATTGCATCGTGACGTAACAAAAGAAAAACAGTTTTATTATTACCATGTATAAGTTCGCAATTAGATTGAATTGTTTTTCTTGGTATGAATCCAATACGTTTAAAATGCTCGTGTTGTCTTTGTATCGCATATTAGAATACAAAATAAAATATCTATGTATTACTAAAGTTTTGTACTGCACTGAACCTCGTTTATTTAGTACTATTTTCTTACTGCCTCGTTGGCAGAGTGGTCGCAATTGCGACTGCCGAGCAAGGGGTCTCGGGTTCGATTCACGGGTAGGGCAAAGAATAACTGAGTTTAAAAAAAAATCTCAGTAGTAGCACGGAATCTGGAACTGTGCCCGGTATATGGCAATAGGCTCACCCCCTATTACATGGGACTCATAATATAAATAGTGAAAAGTGAGTGTTACATTGTGCAGTGGTATAATGTGCACCTCTGCCTACCCCTTCGAGGATAGAAGGCGTGATGTTATGTTATTTTTTTACTATGAATGAAAACAAACAGTGAGGCCTTCAAAATAAACAAATCATTAAACTTTGACAAAACACAATGCATAAAAATCATCGTCAACTCATAACAATATCAATTAATTAAAACTGAAAAACCGCCAAAAAGTAAAATACAAATATTACTAGGTCAAAGTAACTCAATGTTGTTGCATAAAACGATTCAAAACTTATATTTACCGAGCCATTTGTTCAATAACATAACTTAGTCTGAAGTTCGCGCCAACTTTCTTTCTATAGACCACAAAACCTGCAAACAGGCGGCAAAAAGGCGGAACTCACATAAAACTTTCATGCAAAAAAAGAACGTGTAATCGACTGGATAAAGTTGAGATTGCAATAAGTTTAATTAATAATATATTAGCTTGAGCGATCGTGTACGGTGTAATGGAGAGTCCATTGCAGAATCCCGCCGCATCCATCTATCAAATGAAGGAACATTTAAATATATTATAAATTACAATTACAATGTACTCTCGAGTCAATGACCTCAGAATATGAAGCATCTAATAGCACGCACACAATGCAATGCCCACGCACACAGACGTAACTCATGACTCATAACTGGTAAACAGTAGGACAACTTCGCGAAACGAAGTTCGACGTTCGATTTTACTTGAATCTGATTTAGATACCGATCCTTGTATTTGGCTCTGAATAAAATGACAGTAAACCGTTTTCGTAAGGAAGACAGACTAAAGAAGATGTTTATTAAGATGTGAATTTACAGTTACCAAGTAAATCTAATATCATTGATTAAATACAACTTTCCGAAAAATGCAATCCAAGTATTTGTTTAATCATATTCAGCAAGCTATAATAGCACCAATGCCGTTAACTATAGTGGTTTGATTCGTAAAAATCTCATGAGAATTTGTCATTGTATAGGGTACTGACAGGCAAAGTCATTGTACTCGTATTTATTAATATAAGGCAATAACAGTCGTATTAGACTGTTATATTAATAAGTACGGGGGAGGAGGGACCATAATGAAATCGACCTTCACCACGTAATGTAGTCCAGCGAGCATTTTATGGAGTGTCGATGGTACACAATAAACATCGATATGCAAAAACAGCCCTTACAGTTATTGTAATAAAGATGCTATCAAATCGACAATGTCTAATTGCTTCTATGTTGGCTGCACACAACATTGTCTACAGCAAAAAGTATAAAGAAATTAATGATTTCCAGTACCGATGTTATTTACTTGTATGTGGTTTTGATATACTACGTTCTTGTTTAGACTTAGCAAAAGCTGCACTTTTATTTTATTTAATAAATTAATACTAAAACATTATACACTTTTCTTAAACCGTTTCACGTACTGTATCAATTATATGGCTACGTATAAAAATATTGCGTTAAAGTAAATCATTCACATAAACCTATAATTATAACAAAAACTGTTCAGCAATTCTAAATAATAAGGATTGTCTCATAAATCCTTCATCTTTGTTGACAAATGAACCATTATACGAGTTAGAACTGTGACAGTCGGAAAGTAAGGCCTGTCTCAGACGCAGCCATAACAAATGTATCATAAATCTATAATAAATGTAGTATTGTAATAAAATTGTTTTTATATAGAATCTTACACCTGTTTAACATTTCATTACAATATGGTTTCATGAGAAAACATTGTAACAATCTACAATTCTATTAATTATGTTTAACGACTTACTCGCGTAACTAATTGACGAGGTAACTCGACTCGATGATTGTGAGTCCCAAGCGTAACTTGAAACAAGACGAGTTCAAAAAATATTCAATCAATATAACCCACGAAATAAACATTGTATCTATCATTCTATGTAAGAATTAAATGTTTGACGAGGTAACTCGACTCGATGATTGTGAGTCCCAAGAGTGGCTTGAAACTAGACGAGTTAAAAGTTTCACTAAAAAAGAAAAACATATCTATCATTCTACGTAAGAATTAAAGGACGGAAATAAGGTTCAGATTGATCGAATAAAGCTTGCATTTTGCGTTTAAAATGCTTCGTCTATAAGTGCCTTAAGATCTTGAGTTGAGAGCTGTATCAATGGTTAATGTATTAGCTTCTTTATACAAGCACGCTCGGTTAAAATGTTGGTGCATTTACAAAATTATGGGTACAAAAGACGAATGGGAATTTATAGGAACTCTTCAATTAAATTGCACTAAAGAATGTATTGAAGAAATGTTGAGAAATGAAAAATGTGAGGGATCTATGAGGGTTCAAATTAAACGTACTAAGATAAGATACGACTAGGAATTTTATCTAGACTTGAATGTGGAGAATACCTACAATAATTTTTGATGTAGGTTTTTAATAGCTTTTATTACAGAGGATTTTTAACCAATGATGACTAAAGCGTGTTGCTTTAAACACGTGATCGTTTGTTAAACATGTTTTATTAAAAATATAATACTTCTTTTTAACTTAAAGTAGTGGAGTATAATAAACAAGCTGAAGTTGCTTAACATTATTTTGACCTATTGCGTCACTAAACGATATGTTATGATTTTATGTGAAAACTGCTAAACTGCAGCCCATAGGAGACAAAAAGAAATATTGTTGTAGGACGGATGCTGTCTATATTATGCATGAACTTATATACTTTATTCCCATAGTCATCTATCTATATATATATAATTCAAAGGTGATTGACTGACTGACTGACTGACATAGTGATCTATCAACGCACAGCCCAAACCGCTGGATAGATTGGGCTAAAATTTGGAATACAGATAGATGTTATGACGTAGGCATCCGCTAAGAAAGGATTT